ATTTGGAGTTCTATACAGTAGAACCACACAATGAAGCAAACTGCATCATACAGCTGTTTCGTCCTTCTAGGACTCTTCAGTGGTGCTACATCATACAGATGTTTCGTCCTTCTAGGACTTGTCACTGATGTTACATCATACAGCTATTTCGTCCTTCTAGGACTCGTAAGTGATGCTACATCATACAGCTATTTCGTCATTCTAGGACTCGTAAGTGATGTTACATCATACAGCTATTTCGTCCTTCTAGGACTCGTCACTAATGTTATGTCATACAGCTATTTCGTCATTCTAGGACTCGTAAGTGATGTTACATCATACAGCTATTTCGTCCTTCTAGGACTCGTAAGTGATGCTACATCATACAGCTTTTTCGTCCTTCTAAAACTCGTAAGTGATGCTACATCATACAGCTATTTCGTCCTTCTAGGACTCGTACGTGATGTTACATCATACAGCTATTTCGTCATTCTAGGACTCGTAAGTGATGTTACATCATACAGCTATTTCGTCCTTCTAGGACTCGTCACTGATGTTATGTCATACAGCTATTTCGTCATTCTAGGACTCGTAAGTGATGCTATACATACAGCTATTTCGTCATTCTAGGACTCGTAAGTGATGTTACATCATACAGCTATTTCGTCCTTCTAGGACTCGTCAGTGATGCTACATCATACAGCTTTTTCGTCCTTCTAGGACTCGTCAGTGATGCTACATCATACAGCTATTTCGTCCTTCTAGGACTCGTCAGTGATGCTACATCATACAGCTTTTTCGTCCTTTTAGGTCTCGTCAGTGATGCTACATCATACAGCTATTTCGTCCTTCTAGGACTCGTCACTGATGTTATGTCATACAGCTATTTTTTCATTCTAGGACTCGTAAGTGCTGCTATACATACAGCTATTTCGTCATTCTAGGACTCGTAAGTGATGTTACATCATACAGCTATTTCGTCCTTCTAGAACTCGTCAGTGATTCTACATCATACAGCTGTTTCGTCCTTCTTAGACTCGTCACTTATGTTACATCATACAGCTATTTCGTCCTTCTAGGACTCGTCATTGATGCTACATCATACAGCTGTTTCGTCCTTATAGTTCTCGTAAGTGATGCTACATCATACAGCTGTTTCGTCCTTCTAGGAGTCGTAAGTGATGCTATATCATACAGCTGTTTTGTCCTTCTTGGACTCGTCACTGATGTTATGTCATACAGCTGTTTCGTCCTTCTAGGACTCGTCAGTGATGCTACATCATACAGCGGTTTCGTCCTTCTAGAACTCGTCAGTGATGCTAAGGGCCAAATTGCCAAAGCCTATGAGACGACAAAGGAAAATCACAAGTGATCGACAGAATAGTCAGAATGTAGGCGGGGAGGTGCACGAGGCCCATAATTCAATTTTTTTTTAAATTTTTATCAATCTGATATTTTAGAACAATATCAGATGCATATGTATATTCTCTGAACCGTGCCACTATTCGAATGAAACAAGACGTGGCATTTAAAGTTATTAGTTACGTCAGCGCATTTCACTGAGCCATGTAACAGTTTATTCTCCAAAGGAATTAATCTCGAGACAAAAAAATTCATTTCCTTTGCAAAATTGTTGTAATAAGGTATTATATTGCTTGATTCACTCAGGAAACGTACAAATTACCAAGCATGTCAACGAGGAAAATTAATTGAGAGTACATATCTTTACCAGTAACAAAGGACATGCATACACATGGCGACTCGCAGCGGTAGAACACCTCAACAACAGCGTATTATACCCAAAGACTTACAAATGGAAAACATTTATATGTAATATCGATCGCGAGCAGAAGTCTTGCTGTTTTGATACTAAATTATCAATTTTAATAGTGTTCTTTTAAGGAAATGAAAATATGATAAATGTCGCTAAACCATATATCAAATACATCACCCTCTTTGAATTATGGCGTGTAATCGTGCTGTTAAAATGAACACGAAACATGAACTTAGCTGTGTTAATACGGCATGGTGTTGAGAATTCCCTTCTTCATAAATATTCCTGAACAAGGAATAGTGAAAAACTGCAACATATTGTTCTTTCACAAAGCATTGAAATCTCGATATATCAATCATTAAGTTATTACTCATTAAAACCAACTATACTAATATTGTGTATATATTATCATATAGAGTTTTTCTTAAAAGCTCACAATGATGATTGAAATTTTATTTGAATTAACCAATGTTAACATGGTTGGTGTCGTCGATAAAACAGAAGACGCTTTTCCTACCGGAACAAACGTTAGTTCGATGCTGTTCTGCTCTTGAAATGACAAATACTCAGAATTTATTTTTTTTTTTTTTGTTTTTTTGTTTTTGTTTTTTTAATTTTTTTTGTTTTTTTGTTTTTTGTTTTGTAAAACCTTGATATTCTGGCTTTTGTTTATAAAGTACACATTCGTTATTTCTTCCTTTGCTTATAGTCTCCGGTAAAACGTCACTCAAACATGTGATTTAAACTATCTGTATACTATTTACACCTGTATACATGAAATCTATCATTCCCTATGTTGATATTTATCGATTTTTACTCAGACCGGTTAGGCTTAAACGAGAGTATACGATGTTGGTTGTTATTCCGTGATGCTGGCTTGCATTCCTACGTAAATGTGATTAAAATGTGAAGACACTTGAAAGATACTTACATAGGTAGTTAAAATCTTCTGTAATAAATAGTATATATTAAAAAAACTCAAATGAAAAAAAAATTGTTATTGGAGCCATTTTGTTCCTGATTGCGTTATCAAAGTATTACAAGTGGCGCTACATACTGGCGTTACTTCAAATATGAAATCATCCTGTTTAGCGATGTGTTTGAAGTTGTTTTAGTAAATATAAATATATATATATATATGTTTCATTACAGTCTGAGGTTATTGGCTGTAAACATAATGGGGTTAGCTATTTTTGTATTAGTTTTGAAGCGTGTTTACATCGGGGCAGCTACATAATCCTTGAAGCGTTATGATCCGTGAAGGATACTGGGATAATATTCCGACTTTGTCTCAAATCATGGAAGTGTATTATTGTTTTACTCTGAACTGCCCATCAGTGCAGATAGAAGTCATTAAAGCTAAAAACTGGTCTAAAACATCAAAAAAGAAAATGATGTAAAAAAATATTATTAATTTTTTTCAGATACAGTTTAAAGCAACAAATTGATCATGCCATTTTAGTATTTTTACTATTTCACATAAACGTTTAAGACCTGTGTTGATAAAGCCGGTTATTTTCGTGGGTATGATATTTCGCTATATCGCGCAACATCTAATTGATCGTCAAAATTTAGTCAGTAAAACTACGAGACACATATGTGTAGGAAAATCTTTCACGTCGAGATCGCGAAATTTTGATTCGTTAAAACATAATCAGATTATTTAAAAGAAAATCGCGAAAATTTTGACCCATGGAAATTACCAGCTGTATACAGTATCTTGGGTTTAATGTAAATAGTTCGTCTTCGGTATATATCACTCTGTAACATATGTATATCAGGAACGGGATCATTGTCCTACCTTAGCCCCTTATGCTGAGCGGAACTTTATTGATAACATCGTTCTGATCATAATTATATATATATTACCGAATTAGGTATCTGAAGGAACTCGCGTCATCTCTAAAAACACAAATCAGTTTATAATGATTTACGAATAGCTGTTTCAAGTATTGTTTTAAAACTCAAAACTGCTGGTGATGGTAAGATTTCTCTACCAAGCCGGGATAAGACAGACTACACTCACAGAACAGAAACACGTGCTAAAGAGGAAGTTGTTAATTTGAGACGTGAGAGACGTGACTGATTCATGTTGACAGTTTATTATAAGTTTAATATTATTGTAAGACAGTATCTGATCATTTTTCTTTATTCAGATTTTTTTTTCAATTCATCATGACAATTGTCCTTGTACAATGTAAAATGCAGATTACAAAGAGGTCAAAATGAAAACAAAAATCCTTATTTGCCTGCTTTTGATTCTATATTTGTCAGCACATTTGCCTGCTTAATCCATTCTAGGATGTTAGAAATAAGAGGTAGAAAGGCTTAAACAGTTGTAAATGCTCGTCGGGTAGGAGTTTCCATGTCCTACCCTCAGACAAGGGAAAGTTTCTATACATCTTTTCCTATCCTTTCTGGTCATTCTATATCTTTATCTTTATTTTCCACTGTTGGCGTCCCTCTTGAATCCGTCTTCATTAGCTCCAAGCTGTTGCGAGGACGTGCAACGCTTTAAAACCAAACAATACACTTTCTGAAACAGGCAGCATTTTATGATGTTTCTAGTAAAACGACATGATTCAACAAGACAATTGAATGACGTCATCGTCACTTTTTTCGAGATTACACGTCCTGTGTGATTAATTGCAGGAACATATTAAACAATATCACTGAAATCAAGGCCCCACCCACCTATAAATTTCTGAAACATATATTTTTTCCGACATATTCTTTATTTTCTTTTTGGAAAGAATTACTGTTTTAAGTTAAAATATTGTGTGACTGAGTATTCGTTTATACGTGGTGACAATAAAGGCACAACGTGTTACACTAGCCCTTCAAATAGGACACGTGCCGTGCCTATGATACCATAAACTGTATTTCGCTGTGTGTAGATATATCATGGAAAATTATCATTAAGAATATTCATTAAATGAGAGCTAAAAAATTTGCATAAATTCTGAAATTATAAATGCTAATACATCGCAAGTTTGCAAGCTACATTTCAAATTAACGCGTCCACACTGTACTGAAGCACGTCGCGTTCTACGTGTGTATAAATAGACGTTACCGGGATCACTGGTGTAACCGCATCACTGGCGAGAGATACTTACCTGTCAGCAAATGAACTCACCTGAACGAATAAACCTGTACGTACCTGAGAAATCAACACAGGTAATACAAGGGTATTGGAGGAGACGGTTGGTACCCTGTAGTTGTAGATACAAGCTTCAGTAGGATTTTGTTTTTTACCTGGGAAACTTTTACATGCCTATAACAGGTAGATTTACAAAAAACTGTACTAGAAATTTGTCAACACGTGGACTATTTACCGAACAGGATCCGTATTTGGTCTACAATCAAAGGCTATAAAATTACAAAAACTTTTTAAAATTGTCACCCGTATAATAAGCTTCGTCACATTAGAAGGATATACAGGTGAGTGTGTTACCTGCATGGACAGAGGACATCTAACGATCACCTGTTTTGTAAAGATTTGTGAGGATCCGCTCCCGATATTCAAGCAGATTTAAAGTTTACCTGGACAACGAAAACATTTATGGTAACATCGCATATATCAGATTCGGTGATACCTTGTACACGAATTCAACTGGTTTGCTTTAAAAACGGATTGTGATAAAGTGATTGAAGAAGGGATTCTACATAGGGCAACTGGAGACATCCTGGATAAAGTTACGTAATAATAACTGACAGAATCAATTCACCGTACGGTGAATTGAACATCGCTGTCCAACTGGCGGTCACTTTAGGAGAGACAATGATTTACACATTGACCCAGCAACCCTTAAACCCAGGGCTTACACAGCCCGTAACCCAGGGATTCAATCAGGGAATAACACAGCCCCTCTCTCAGGGTATAACACAACAAATTAGCCAGCAACTCACCACGCAGCTTTCACAACAGCCAGTCAGCCCCGGGCTGAGCCCGGGGGTCAGTCCACCAGGCATGAGCCCAGTTGTAACTCCTCCAGGACTCAGCCCCGGAGTAAATGGAGCTAACGGTCAGTTGGTCAGTGCAACCAGCCCGGGGGTCAGTCCGATAACCCCGGTAGCACCAATGTCCCTACAGCCAGGAATAATGCATCTTATAAACTACGGAGACAAAGACCTTGGACTTCTACTTTCACAGAGGTAAATCCTTATTAAAACTTTGAAAATTTTATAAAAGCATACATTTTATTCTAAAAACGTCTTTACATCCTCGTTTAATTTTAAATAAAATAAAAAAAACTAACCCCGTTTGGAGCAGACAGAACAAACTAGTCAGAGTTATCCTAACAAACTCTCCGAGTATAATTTATCATTAATATTCCGAAAAAAATTTTTACTTTCTTAGGTGATTTAACTAAACAGAAGATCGGTCCTTTGTTTGAGAATTGAAGAGCCAACCTCTCCACAGATTCTTTATAATTATCTCTGCGAAGACGGCTCTGTTAAACCAATATTTACACTGAGATGACAGTTAAAAAGCTGACAATACTTATTCTGTCCTGCCCATAGGTAAACACGGCTACAGCATAGGAGCTATAACGAGCCGATCAAATATTTAAACTCGATCAGCCGGCGATGTACCGTTATGTCAAACAGATAGACGAGCTAATATTGACACTACTAGCTGTACGGTTTAGAATTAACTTAATTAAGCTTTAAACAATAAATCTGTGTATATCAGAAGGTCAATATACCTGAAATGACTGTTCATTACAGAAAGAACGTCTTGTTTTGGTACAAACTCAACCCTTATTATACAAAACATCCTGTTGAAATGACACGTATGTATGTACATTAACATTACAAAAACGAGACGTGATCAGATCTCAATGGAGTCAATTAAATGAGTGAAAGACGTATAAAATATGAGAACAGATGTACTTTCATGTAGTTTGCTCCACAACAATCCCCCTCCATGTCGCCCTCATTGTGGGTATCATGTTCAGTGTGTTCATGTTATCACCTAGGACAAGTAGTCTCCCCTACTTGAAATTATTGACACATGCTAGGCAGCGTTCGATAACGATATGATATATAACAAGCTCCTAATTCTTCTGCACCCGTTCTTTTTATTGGTGTTATATGTCATCAAGACCCTTAGATGTAGCTACCTGGCTGGGAACAATCTGAAAATTCTCTCTTAATAGTACACAGTATAAAGGGTTTCAAAAACACACAACATCAACTGCAAACGTCGTCTCTTTGGTTTGTAAGCGGAAGCAGATTGCTAAAGCGACATGTAAAATTTAGCAAAGATTGTCTGCTCTATGTCAATACATGTAAGACATGGAGAGTTTCTGGTTTCAGTTTCAGCAGCAGAATTTGATTTAAATGTTGTTGTATGTACTTGTTCTGAGTAGTATGGGACTGACATCCATTGTAAGTTGACATCAAACCCTTAATATATAGTGACACTTCACAGACTAACATAGGGGTCAGCATTGAATCCTCACACACACACACACACACACATATATATACATATACAGAGTTGTAGCAAGGCTCAGTGCTGAGCTCTAAAATGCTACCTCTTATACAGCTGTCGTCCGAAATGACCTTAGATTTTATTTCAGCATTCTCAGTCTACGCCTATATTGCAATACCACACGTTCTATGACAGGGGTCAACTCTAAGCTGATCCCTTACTTTGAACGTAGCATAACATGGACCAAGAGAGAGGTCAGTCTAAAGCCCTTAATTGTACAGTAACATTACATGGACCAAGAGTGGGATCAGCACGGAGCCCTTAATTATACAGTAACATTATATGGACCAGGAGTGGGGTCAGTACAAAGCCCTTAATTATACAATAATATTACATGGATTAAGAGTGGGTCAGTCCAGAGCCCTTTATTATACAGTAACATTACATGGACCAAGAGTAGGGTCAGTACACAGCCCTTAATTATATAGTAACATTACATGGACCAAGAGTGGGGACAGTACAGGCCCTTAATTATACAATAATATTACATGGACCAAGAGTTTGGTCAGTACACAGCCCTTAATTGTACAGTGACATTACATGGACCAGGAGTGGGGTCAGTACAGGCCCTTAATTATATAGTAATATTACATGGACCAAGGGTGGGGTCAGTACAGGCCCTTAATTATACAATAATATTACATGGACCAAGAGTTTGGTCAGTACAGGCCCTTAATTATATAGTAATATTACATGGACCAAGAGTGGGGTCAGTACAAAGCCCTTAATTATACAGTAACATTACATGGACCAAGAGTGGGGTCAGTACACAGCCCTTAATTATATAGTAATATTACATGGACCAAGAGTGGGGACAGTACAGGCCCTTAATTATACAGTAACATTACATGGACCAAGAGTGGGGTCAGTACACAGCCCTTAATTATACAGTAATATTACATGGACCAAGAGTGGGGTCAGTACAAAGCCCTTAATTATACAGTAACATTACAAGGACCAAGAGTGGGGTCAGTACACAGCCCTTAATTATATAGTAATATTACATGGACCAAGAGTGAGGTCAGTACACAGCCCTTAATTATACAAAAATATAACAGGGTCCAAAACAAGGATCAGCACTGAGCCCCTTTTCCACAGTAATAGTACACGTATTGATGAACGAAATCAAAAATTATGTTTGATAATTTTCGGCGTAAAACACTTCTTAGGATCGTGTGTGAATTAATCTTGTCAATTGCTAATCAAATATTTCGTATTATTCAAACAAGATAAAAAGTATGTTTAGAAAGTATATATATAATGGGATCGTGTCAAATACAATCCTACAATACAGATCTATTTGAATTTTAAATAATTTGTAAAACGTGATCACTTCTGATGTTTTTCCTCATGGATGCGCATCAGTTTACTCTATAGGTTTTATTTTGTCATCAAGTGGTTTATTTTAAGATTTTAATTTAAATTCACGTGATTCATCTTGCCAGTGTTAATGAATTTAATATATTTTGTTTGATTAATTATCTTTTTTCTTCTATCATTTGAATTAATGTCGAAAAAGCAAACACACACATGCGTATATTCCTATATAAATGTATATGTTTTACAGCCCATTTAGTTATTTAACGTTACTACATGCACAATCATGTTAAACCTTTAAAGTTACTTTACAATGATCTAAAATAGATGTTACACGTGGCGAAGGCACCAAAACGAGTTAAAATCTACAAAACATGGCATATACATCAGAATTCAACGGCCCATGACAGAAACTTAATTAATCTTTCATTTTTATTTTGCTGTCATTTTGATGGTAAAGTAGCGTACTTATGGTAAAGACTTGAGAATATACGACCTCGTAAGGTTGCCACTGTGCGACATGAGGCCTATATATGTACATATACGGCTAAACGACAGCAGGTCAAGCGCGACACTTTTAAGTGTTACATTGAATAGTTTGCTTCTAAGAGAACAGTTCATTGACATACTTAATTTTCTAGCTGTGTGTGTTTGTTTTGTTAGTAATATTCGACTATTTTTAGTCAGTTTCGCATTCCTACAAGAAAGAGAAATCTGAAAATTTGAGATTTTCTGTACTGAAAACCCATCTCCATAGAATTAGCCGTCTAAGTAGGTTCCGGGTTATTTTAATGCAATTGTGTCTAGCTGTCAGACATGCATTGTAACACGTGGCATGAAGACGTACCGTTAAAGCCAAATGTATTACAAACTTGGTTACACCTCTGTCGTACAGTTTGACATAGTCTTTAATTTATACAGTAACGATAATTAATTACGTAAGCCTGTCGTTGTGTAGCTCATTATACTGCATGTACGTTTAATATCATCTGCCACAGGACATTATTAAAATCATAATACATACACTCTCTCTCTATAGTACAAGTTTGTATTTTCATGTACGTAAGTAAGTTCAGGAAGTACTATCATACTTTTCATGAATAGATGATAATCTTTATGAACTTCAGTTTCTGAAAAAAGAAAATACAAACAAACAAAGACAAACAAATAAACAAACTTTGTTTTGTGCTTCTGCAAAATGTGCCCACTTCTCCTCAATCTAGATTTTCTCATATTTTTTTCCGTCATATTAGATTTTCCTATGTCACCTTTCAATGCTTAAAACATAGACCCTTAGCATCACTGAAGAGTCCAATAAAGACGAAACAGCTGTATGATACAGTTTAAATAAATGACTATAGACGGTACCTGATTCGAAATTTGTATCAAAAAGTGTTATTTTCTTGTGTAATTCTTGTCCAATGTCCAACTCGTAACAAAACCCATTTAATACAAATATCACTCTATTGATTTAACATGCAATTGAATATCCGATAATTAACAAACCAGGAATTATTGCCGGACGCTGTTAATATCGGAATGACGCGAAGGACAAACGTCTTTGTCCTCATGTTTAAATTTTCGTTGAAGGTCAATGTACCAAAAGGGATGCTGATAGAAATCAGGCAAAGTCATTCAAGGTGAAATTAACAAACATGATGACCCGTTGACCTTTGTACGGTTGAGAAGAACTGGCTGTAGTGAACATATCCAATACATGTAATCTATAAAGTTAGTTCTTAACTCGAGAAATAGTAGCAATGACGGTGTCGGCTTACTTTGTCGCTTAAGACGGGGAAACGTTTGATGGTCTTTGACCTCAAGACGTCCTCTGATTGTCCGACATGAACGTAGCTGTGTAATATATAATGTATATTCCTTAGTGATGCGTGAGACTTCCTGTCTTGACAGTAGGTATAACGTTAGCATTAATTACACACAGCCTTACACGGATATAACTCTAGGAAAGAGTTGAATCAACGTGTTTCAAGCTTTATCATTATTACATGCAGTTTTACTATTTCTCGTTAAAACGTCCATTTAAAAATCTGAATTATTAAGATCTTTTTAAATCACAGGACAAAATCTTTTTAATTCATAAAAAAAATGATGTAATGCATTTAAAAAAACTAAGATTACGGAATTAATAATACTATATACAATAATTTCCGAACAAAGTGTTCTTTTTAATAAGTGTTTTCTAATAAACAATACAATATTGATTGGAGTCCCTCCGCTCTTTCACTATCGTTTCGTCAGTGACAGGCAAGCTATTGACCTTTGATCTAAACGTATAGTGAGAAAGTGCAGTGTCTAATTAAGTCCTATATATGAATTA